ATCGCTATAAATTTATTACAAAATGTAAGATTTTTTTTCGCAGTGGAAAATGCTCTTAAATCCAGAGGTAGTTTTTCATTTCTCGCTTTTTTGGCGAATCAAGAGCTAATAAATCGTCGGTCACATATATGGCAAAACCTAAAAAACAGGTACACTTTAAAACAAAAAAGTATAATTTTTTTATTTGTGGGCACACCTATTTTTTATATACGATTCTATTCGTAATCTCTTAATAAATCGTTAGATATAAGTGTTATTCATTTTCATCAAGTGCTTCAAACGTTAGACGAGGAATAAATATTTAGATCCCTGAAATAGAAAACAAAAGAATAAGTTTGGTTCAAATTACGCAAAGATTTTGAAAGTTGAACTCCCTTAATTGGGATGTTCTAAATTCAATAGCATCCTCAGACTTACTAGATTTGCTCCGGTTTTCGAGATAACGGTACTTGCAAATTTGATTAAATTTTAGCTATTTTATAAATAACTCCCTCAGTTTTGAAGTTATTTTACTAAAAATTTACAAATGACTATTTTTTAATATTTCCTTAACTAACTCTGAAAATCATCGAAATACGCTCACTTTAACAAATAGCTTCCACACAACTGATTATTCAGATATGTTGTTTGGCCTCGAACTTCGTCATAAAGAGAAAGTTAACAGTGTTTATGATGAATAAAAATAAATTTTTTACCTGCTTAACTGGAGGAGTTATAACGCAAAACAACGTCCCTTAACAACCAGCTGTATGGCAGTTACATGTTATAGTGAACCACTTTCGATGATTTTATGCAATAGTTGAGGTAATATTAAAAAATGGTCATGTACAAAATTTTAGTAAGATAACTTTAAAACTGATGGAAGATATTTATAAAATAGTTAAAATTTAAGCAAAGTTTCAAGTACCGCTATCTCGAAAATTGGAGCCAATCTGGCAAAACAGGAGACGCTATTCAGTTTAGAAGGCTGCAATTAAGTAGGGGCAACTATCACAACCTTTGCCTAAAGAAGTTGGTTTGTTACCTCGCTCGAAATATTCTGACTACAAGAATGATTCTTATTACAAAAAGCAAATCAGCGTTTTCCAAATGTGCCTTCAATTAAGATGTTTTAGGAATAAAAATTACGCTCACGATCGCTGAATATTTCATCTTTAAAAGTTGGTTTATTCTGAAAGCACACCTCTTGGTATCAAATTATTCGTAATTGTTGCAAAACACAATACATACTTTAAAAGTTTTTAGAATTAAATGTTTCGAAAGCTGTAGGCGATAAACCGAAAAGTGTGAAACTTGTGAAAAGTAGAGATGTGCACTTGGAGTTACTTGCCATATAGTTATTTTTTAAAGCACACTATAGTTACCTACTTCAGATGAAGTGTACACGTAAGTACTGACTGCACATAAAATTTTAAACCAGTATATGGTGTGCTTCAAAAGTTATGACATAATTAATTTTTCACCTCTTTAAAATTACATAAAAAAACTGACTTCTTTTTAATATTTTTTTCATTAAAACATCTATAACTCAAAAGTTATGCAACAAATTGACTCAAAATTTTTTTGAGGTTTCAAGTATTGTGCATACATACAAGCAAGGAACATTAAACAGGTAGTATCAGCAGAGAACGTTTATAACTGAGAAGGCGCATTTTCTGTGTGAACTAATTTCTGCCAGAAATTTTGGGGTGCAGTCGGCCAAATATACCACACGTCGACGAGTGCACCACTCGACCGACGGTGTCGGTAGAGAAGTGTCGGCTGCCACCATACCAAAAATTTTTCCGTGCCACCACACTTTGAGCAAATTTACCATAGTTCAAAGCAAAATGAAAAAATAAGAACGAAAAAGGAAAGAGGAACAGAAATATAATAAGCACTAGGCAGAGGGGATGCTTGCGGAGGCAGGCGCGTGCTTGTGTCGGATCAAAACAAACTCTAAAATAAAAATGGTAGTCGGAACGACAAGTGTACAAAAGAAGCGGGGAAACGGGGAAAGGAGCGGGCTTTTGTACATTTGCTTGTTTGCCGAAAATATGATATTTGCGTGAAATCGATTTGCTGGTTGCAAATTCATTTTTGCAAACATGTATGAATTTTTCTGTTTCAGCAAAACATGTATGCATTTTTCTATTTCAGCTAAGTTGATAAGATTTTCTGAGGGAAATAAGATTTTCTGAGGGAATATTTTCCACAATCCATACGTACATACATATATCTATCCACATATATATATACGTACATACATATATCTATATATTGGAGCATTTCATGAAATTTCATCTATGTATACATGCGCAATAGGCTAGCTCTTTATAAGTTTCGTGATACATATTTGTATACATAAATATGTACAAACGCGTATATATGTATGTATGTACATATGCCAATCACCTACAAATGAAAATCTGTTTTGCATTGACATCGGTCCGTTTAAATACCGTTATTAGAGTCTGATTGGTTGTTAAGTATAAATGCGCGAAAATGAAAGATAATAAAGAAAAAATGCTAACGTCTTTCATACGGAAAAGTTTTCCGAGCCGTTCGGACGCGTTTTTTGAGCGAATTTTTTTTCCTGACTTATCGCGCGCCCTAAATCGACGAGATGTCCAGCATTCGCCACTGCGTAGCCCGGGACTGCCCCATCACCAGTTTGGAGGCCAAACTCTATGGATGGCCACGGGATAAGGAGATGGCCCTGAAGTGGAGGCAAAACCTCCGGATTTCGCCAGACGCCCACATTGCCCCAACCAACACCTTCATTTGCGGCGCCCACTTCCCTCACTTCGCCGTTGGAGGCCAGCGACTGAAGCGTGGGGCGGTCCCAACCCTCAACCTTGGTAAGTTGTTTTCATTAAGTTTAGTGCATGAAGTTTTTTAGTGAGTGCAGTGGACATATGTGTGTAGGAATATGTATGTACGTATGTATGTATATATACAATACAATGAGTGCATTCCAAAATAGTGAATATGCATACATATGGGCTATTCCATGGTGCTGGTGAAAGTTATTATGCTGTCAGCCATTGTTATTTCTGCTTGTTTTGTGAAATGAGCAAACGTTTGTGAAGACATTTATAAACGCGTTTTACTTAATTAATTGATTAAACGCATGCGAACCTTTTAAGGATAATATATTTGTGGAAATAAAAGTGATAAGTGTAGTGTTATAATAAAATATAGTGATAGTAGGCGGGATAACAAATAATAGTATCCCCACCGAGTTTCATAAAAAATTCAGTATACTTCGCGAGGAATAGCAATTAATATTTTACGTGGAATGGCCCATATGTATGTATTTTGCTTGTTTGTGTGTGTACATATGTATGTCATTTGCTTCTTTCTGTGTGTTCAAAAATTTTAAACGTGTGTGAATGTGTAAATGTGTGACTGGTGGGGCAGGTCCTTGTGCCTAGTGAAAGTGATTATGTATAATTATTATGCATATGTATATTGTATGTTTATTGATTAATACTGATGTATTATGTATATTGAGGGAGTGGGTTAAAATTAAGTCGGTACTTAACGTTAGTTGTAGTTTTTGCCATAATTTTTAATGGGTTTTTCGTCAAAAAATCTGCTTTAGTGTGTCCATATGTTTGTACAGATATGTATATGCATGTACATATGTATATCGTCGTTTAAAGTACAAAACCACGTATCAACAAAATGCAAACCCGCATATGTGAGGTTGCATAAATTATTTTCAACATAGATTATTTTCTACATAGATTATTTTCTACATAGATTATTTTCTAGATAAAATATTTTCAGGATGAATGGATAAGGATTCAGCCAAGAGCTTGTGTGTGATTGAGCCAAAAACGACGATACGCGGTTTTGTACCTTAAAAGACGATATGTATGTATAGGTGCAAATGTACATTCAGCTTAAGTAACCAACATTTTTGGGTACCGTGAATATTTAAAAGTTATCTGAAGAAATGCTCGTATATTTATTATAATAGGGATGCGAACTGAATTTAGAAATTTTTGGCCGTATTCATAAAAAATAAAGTAGGTGTAAAGAGCTTTATAAAATGACGTTTTCATAAATTTTTCAGTTTATAAACCTTTTTTAAAGCTACTTTATTTTTTATGAATAAGGCCATTTTTTGACTGTAGAATTTTTTTTTTATAAGCAAATATGGTACATTCAGTGATGTGTGTTTCAGCAATATGTACCATATATATTTAGGACCAGATGAAGATGAAGATGTCGTTCTGCAGCATTCGATTGAGGAGGCAAAGGGGTACCGCAGTTGCTGCGTTGAGGGCTGCTTCCCCCATGACGACCAGACCCTATTTGGCTTCCCGAGGACGGAAGTTGCCTTCAATAATTGGGCTCTTAGTTTGCAATTTGAAAGTGTCATTTCCGCCAAATACAAAAATTTGTATTTGCGAACGTCATTTTCATAATAGATATTTAACTAAAACGCGACTTTTAAAGGGGGCTTTTCCTCTATTCAATTTGCCACCTCAAATTCCGAGTGAGCCAAATAGCTGCTCCTCCGAATTAATCCTTCAGCCTGTTAAGCATGTTTACATGCCGAAAAAGTCGGAATGCGACTTGACACTCGAGCAATTCGAACAATTCTCTGATTTAGAAGTCAAAAGACAGCTGTTTTGATGTTCGCGGCACTGAGGAGGGCCTTAGCAATGAACCAGGTTTTTGCGACCATGAGCTCTTTCGCTCGGGCTGCGCGTATTTATCAGGGTAACGCGAAAGAGCAGACATACGTATTGAAGAGTTGCAAAACGAAAACGTCGCGTTAAAGCAACAAATTGCTCGTTTGCAAACACACGCGATAATAGCTTCGCCCGATTGTAGCGTATGACGCTTTAAATTTTGCTAGAATGATAGTACGGTCGGTTAGTTCCTACACGGACACGGAAAAACTTTATCTCAAAATATTAATTACATGTCGACTAAAGCCTATAATTTTATGCGCGATGACTTGAAGTTTTCACTTCCTCACAAAAAATCGCTTTCATGCCCTATTAAATATGTATCGCCGGGTATAGATTTTAAAGTAATAGAAAATTTAAAATATGTCGTTTCTGAAATGTCTCCCACCGAGCGGTTTTGCGAAATTTTATTCGACGAAATTTCATTAAAAAAGATCTCGTTTATAATAAAAGTAGAGATATTATTGACGGTTTCGTGGATATTGGCGACGGTAATCGCGACCTCAATGTCGCCGACAAATGTTGTTTTTTCATGGTGAAAGCCATCGCGGCGGATTGGAAATATGTCCTTTCCTATTATATGGTAAAAGGCGGTATGTTGGCTTCAAATCTTTTAGAATCCTTAACGGAAAATATTAAAACGGTTGAAGGCCTCGGCTTAAGCGTCAAAGCCATCGTCTGCGATCAAGGCCCAACCAACGTTCGTCTTTTTAAACTTTTAAATGTCTCCGCGGAAAATCCGTTCTTTATTTTCAATTCAAATAAAATTCACTGTCTTTACGACTATTGCCACTTAATTAAATCGGTTCGGAATAACTTATTAAAGCACGATTTGAAAACTGTCGATGGCATCGCGAGCGGTAAAGTCATTCGTCAATTATATTCGGTAGATAAAGCGAATGTAAACTTCAAGGTATGTCCTAAGCTTACAGCTTCGCATATTTACCCCAATAATTTTGAAAAAATGAGCGTATCCCGAGCGACGCAGCTATTGAGTAATTCGGTAGCTGCAGGCATTGATATGGCGCAGAAACAAGGGTTGCTAGGGTCTGATGAATACACCCTCAAATGTGGCAAGCCGACTCAGTTGTTTGTAAAGCGCATGAATGATTTGTTCGATGAGCTCGATTGTAAGAGATTAAATAATAAAAACCCATTGAAGGGTCCAATTTGGCGCGATTCTGTAGACAAGCTTAACAGGCTTAAGGACCACATTAAATTCATTTCGTCGATTCAACTTCCCAATAATATAAATTCCTTGTGTTTTGGTGGTTTACTTTAACCATTAATTCTATGATTAATTTAAGTCAAGATGTCTTTGAAAATTGCAAAGATTTAAATTTTATATTGTTGGGAAAATTGAATCAAGATGCCCTTGAGAACTTTTTTTATAAAATCCGCGCAACTCAGGGCATTAATACGCATCCATCGGGCCATGAAATTCAGTACATTGTTGCTCGCTTAATTTCTATGAAAATTTTGAGACGGAAATTTGATAAAAAAAGGTACAAACTGCGAAGATGATGAAGATTTGAACCTGGATTGGAATATTGCTGATGAAGATTCCTTGAAAGACAATTTAGGACCTTCAGAGCAACTTGCGATGGATGTCGATATTCCAGAAGAGCAATTTTCTTGGGATATTGACATTCCTGAAGAGCACTTTGCTCTCGCGGAAGGGGCATCAGCAGAAATCCAGGTGCAAAGGTACTACGCAGGTTATACCATTTACCAAAAATTATTGTCAAAGTCGCAATATAAAACTTGTATTGACGCGATGGTGAAAACTCCAGGCGAACTGAAAGACTATTCCGAAGCCTTGATCCGAGCTAAGAATTATAAAGAATGTCCTGATGTGAGACTAATTAATCCAACTGAGTGGGTATTTGAAACATTGCGCATGCAGATGGCATGGTATAAGCATTTATTTTCAGAAATATGCTCATTCAGTTGGAATTCATGAACAAATTGTTAACGCGCTTATTAAAAAAACAAATGAAGAATTTTCGGAATGGTTTTCAGAAGCCGGAGATTGTTTTGAGCACCGAAAGCAACTTCTGAATTCCATGGTAACCGTATTACTGTTTAAAAACGCGAAATGGTTGGCTGGAGATGAAGCCCAAGCAAACATGGAGCGTCTTAAACAGATAAATTAAAAAGATTAAATGTAAAAAAAAGAAAATGATTGAACGAAATGGCATTTTCAATTGCAAGCTAAGAGCCCATGAAATTGGAGGCAACATGCGACGGCAGCAGCTTTTTTTCTTCTATTTCCAGATTTTTTCTTCTATTTTCAGATTTTTTCTTCTATTTTCAGATATTTTCTTATAAAATTGAATATGAAATCTAATTTTTATTTTTTTTTCTTCTATTTTCAGTATTCCCTTGGGTTTTTTCTATATTTTCTTTTTTTTCTAACATTTTAAATTTTGTAGTAATTAACCGTAGTAGTAGTAGAGTAGTGCATGCCTTTTAAGTAGAATAATATACCTACATACATATATATGTTGATTGAGTTAGTAGTTACATATGTATGTAGGTGGTTAATTTTCACTTGCACACACGAGCCAAGTTTTTAAACTATTACCGTACAATTTCAACCGAGTGGATTGAATCGTGGTATTAAAAACTGGTGAAAAATAAAAATGATCTTAAATGATCGTGTGAGAATTTGTCTTCATATGAGAAGGCATTTCGTAATTCGTGTCCAACCTAAAGTTGTAGAAAAAAATTTTAATTTGTTTCATTTCAGGATTTATTTTTGTTATATTTCTTATTTTCTTTTAGATTTTTAAACTCTGAATTTATCTGTATGTACATAGTTTAAGAACTTATATTGAAAAATAAAATAAAAATATTACCTAAAATAACTTAAATTTGTCAACATAATTGTATGTATATTACATAAGTAAGTATATTTTTACAACCTTTATTACATATTTTTTAGCACCAGGAAATTCTTGCGCATGCAAAATGCCGTCGGCAAATGGAAATGTAAAAATTAGCCGACTGCGCATGCATACACTAATGCAATTTAATGAATTGCTACAATTCATAGATATGTATATGTATGTACGTATATATGTGTATGTGCATAAGTAAATATATACATACATACATACATATGTTTCATTAAATTGTAATGAAATAGTTTTATTGAAAAAGTTCCACTTTACATGACTTTAGATAATTGCGGAAAAAAGTCGAAAAAATTGACTTAGAAAATCTCATCAACATAGCTGAAACAGAAAAATTCATACATGTTTGCAAAAATGAATTTGCAACCAGCAAATCGATTTCACGCAAATATCATATTTTCGGCAAACAAGCAAATGTACAAAAGCCCGCTCCTTTCCCCGTTTCCCCGCTTCTTTTGTACACTTGTCGTTCCGACTACCATTTTTATTTTAGAGTTTGTTTTGATCCGACACAAGCACGCGCCTGCCTCCGCAAGCATCCCCTCTGCCTAGTGCTTATTATATTTCTGTTCCTCTTTCCTTTTTCGTTCTTATTTTTTCATTTTGCTTTGAACTATGGTAAATTTGCTCAAAGTGTGGTGGCACGGAAAAATTTTTGGTATGGTGGCAGCCGACACTTCTCTACCGACACCGTCGGCCGAGTGGTGCACTCGTCGACGTGTGGTGTATTTGGCCGACTGTACCCCAAAATTTCTGGCAGAAATTAGTTCACACAGAAAATGCGCCTTCTCAGTTATAAACGTTCTCTGGTATCAGTAGAGCAAAAACAACATTTGCGTGTATTTTGTTGTTGCTTCTGGTATCGAAAGTGTCAACAACTGTTCTGAATTTTTTCTTCTAAATCAAAGCGTGCTATGTGAAATACAAAAAATTATAAAAAATAAAAAATTGAAATTGGAAAAAATAAAAATTGATGCAACTTTCTTTCCTAGTAAATTTGTTTGCTTCTCGAAGCATTGATCCATCCTTTGCAAGGCCCAGTAATCAGCGGTCGTACTGCCGAGTTGGGCGAACGTTCCAAAAGCTGCTATTCAATCGCTTGTTTTGTATGGAAAAAGGTTTCACAAGCAAATGGATTTTAACAACTTATAATTTTCGTGAGAAAAAATTAAAAATATTTGACATTTTCGAGACCAAATAATTTGAAAATAAATCAAATCAGCTGCTCTACTGATACTACCTGTTCAATGTATCTTGCATACAAGTGACAAATGTTCTTCTGCCCGAACTTAAACTTTCTTACTTGTTTTTATATATATTGAGTGTAACCCTCTAGCACATAGAATCAGATGATCTCAGCTGTGAGGCATTTCGGGAAAACATCTGATTCTTTCTTCACTTGTAAGTATGCTCAATGGTTTCAAGTACGTCTATTACCTTGTTTATACCGACACATAAAGCGCTTTCGCCGCTCAGAAATTCAAAAGTGTATTGACTCGAATTTGTTTTGAAATCGGTTTTTTAATTCCCACATCGGTTAAAAAACAAGTTTAAATGCATCATTCATTTGACGCAAAGTGAAAAAAGGCTGGCTTTCTTTATACATCACCTTTTAAATTTGAGTTATTATTTTAATAGATTCGAATTATTGTTCGCTTCCATTTCGATCAACCGCGCAAATTAGTTATTAAAGAAATGTCGTATAAAAACAGCAGATTTGGTTTGCTTTTGAATACGGCTTCATTGAGTGCGAAATAAGGACCGAGGTATAAATGTTTGAAAGAAATATGTGTTCAGTCAAATCAGCTTTTTGTTAATGCGGTTCTTGCGTTTTAAGCCGAACCGGTTTTGAACCGAAAACCCGTGTTTTCTATTAATTAACTGAACCGTTCACCGAACCGAAATTTTCCACAAATGTTTGATCCGAACCGAAAACCGAACCACTTTCTATAAAGGTTAAAGGTTCGTTTCAACCAATTTTCAATAGATAAAAGTACCACTTTTTTCTTTTTGTTAGACATGGTAATACCTACCATGTTTGTTTAAACGACGTTTCCACGGCAAGTGATTCGCTCTCCCATTCGTAATTCGCTCATTCGTGATTGGCGCCCCAATTACGAACCGAATCACGTAATTCGACTTACAAAATTTTGAGAGCGAGTCACTTCATTCGTAGGTGATTCAGATCCAATCAACATGCGAATCAAGAACAAATCGCTGTTTTCTCTAATTTTTATCGATAACGGCTGTCAAAACAGATAGCCCACACACATCCCCACCAGCACAAACATTGAAAAAAAGGGCTAGATTCGTTAAAACTATTGATTTAGCTAACTAACCACTGCAAATTTTTTCTCCACCGTTGAAATGCACAATAAACAGCACATTAAACATTAGGCAAAAGCAAAGAATAAGAAGCAGATATGCAAAGTGAATCACGAATGTGACGTGTAAACAGGTTGATTCGCCGTTCATAATTGAGAGAGCGGACCTCGTGATTCGGTTGTCGTGGAAACGCCGTTTTACGATGTGACAATATCAAATGTAAAGGCAACCCATCTCATTTGACAGACACTTGACCCTTAACCTTGCGCGTTGTTGCACTTGACACTTGCGCGTTATTTTTTTGTTTTTCGAACCGTTGAACCGAACCGAAACCCCAGTTCGAAGACCCAAAAAACCACTTTGGCGAACCAATCCGAAAGTGCAAAAACGGTTCGAACCGCTGAACCGAACCGACCAAATTTTTCATCCGGTTCACGTCCCTGATATGAATTATATCCAAAAGCAGCCAGCTTGATATTGCTTACAACAATGAAAATAAAGCTAAGTAAATAACACAAATATGTTTTCGGCCGAATGTAGGCCAGGAATTTTTTTGTTTAATTGAAATGTATATATCTGATTGCCTACGATATCTAATTTTATAAATCGATCAAGCGAGGTATAAGGAGCTCTACTCTTAAATACTTAAAGCAGAGCTGGGAAATTTTTGCTCGCGAGCAACGCCAGCGCCACAGTTCGTTTACGTATACAGAAACAAAGCAGCGAATTTTGATTCAGTCTGCTTGCAGATTTCACCAAGGTAGCATCACGCTCGGCTGTTGATTGTTTTTCTTCGTAATTTTAGCACACGCTTGCCACATTTTGTGTAGGAAATTGACAAAAAATGCCCAAAGCAAAAAGTGGTGTATTATTCTTCGATTGGTGTTTGCGTGAGTTTGCTACGATTCAAATACAAAATAGTGCGACTATATATAAGAACTACAATTTATAATTCAAAGAACATTCAACACCCACAATGTCCATTATGCTGTCATTCCTACGAATTTTTAATATAAGCAAACTGTATTTTTCATGCCGTGTGAATTTAAAAAAATATAAAATGGGCTTCTTGCTGACCAACGTTCACTAATTTTATAATAAGTTCCATGATTTTTTAAAAAAAGGGCACAAATTGCACACTTTATTTTAGAAAAATTGTTTTCTATCTAAAGAAATCGATAGAGAAATATAAATGCTGGTTTATGGCCAGAAATTCTTAGTGAATAATATTTATAAGTTATACTCTATTTTTAGGACTAAATACCTATTTATATGAAAATAATAAAATCTAAGCACCGTAACCATCTTGCGGGCTGGCATTTAAAAGATTTGATTCTAACAAAACGGTGCCCAGTTATTAAACAAATGAATTTTACCAATTTAATTTTTTTTAATTTTACATTTACTAAATATTTCGTATGCAAAAGTTTCTATAAACTAATAGTATTAGTTACAAGATTCATTATTCCATTAGACGTATAGGCAAAATAGACCAATAGACGCATACCACTTTTAGTACATTTATAAAATGTGGCAACCATAACTGAGCGCGACGCACTAATACCACGTCAAAGTGAGACTGTGTTGGTGTCAGTGATCGGACAATGTGGTAGATTTGCCACTTTTTTGAGCATCTACCACATCTACTACACAAGGTCAGAAATTTACCACATATTCGCATTTTTGAGTAGATTTATTTTTGCTCGACATCTTTCTTCTTTTTTTGGCGCTGTAACCGCCTAAGCGATTTTGGCCGAGTTCAGCAAAGCACGCCAGTCGTTTCTCCTCTGTGCCAACTGACGCCAATTGGAAACGCCAAGTGACGCCAAGTCCTTCTCCACCTGGTCTTTCCATCGCAGGGGGGGTCCCCACTTCTTCTTCTGCTACCACCACCGGATTCCGAGATGAATACTTTCAGAGATGGAGCGTCGGTGTCCATTCGAACGACATGGTCAAGCCAGCAGAGCCGCTGTATTTTAACTCACTGCACTATGTCCACGTCGTTGTAAAGCTCATACAGCTCATCATTCCATCGTCTGCGGTACTCGCC